GTCTGGAATAAACCCCTTTTACTCGTCCATCTGCCTGCTCTCGCCTGCTTCCACGGCTCGCTTGCCCCGCACCCTGACAGTTTGCAGTTAACAAGGTGACATGGATGACTGTTTCCGCTGATCAGTGTCCGCAACAGCAGAACATCCATTTAGTTGTGTCTTGTGTGCCCATCCTTTGCTACACTCCCTGTAATAGGAGAATAATAATCGCCTTCATGACATTACTATGGTTGGTGACCATAATATGTAGCTCTAGAGCAGGGGTCTCCAACTCCGGTCCTGGAGAGCTACTATCCAGTCAGTTTTCAATCATACCTGGCTTCTGATGAGTCACACCTGTTCTCAGGTAAATACCAGGAGCAGGTGTGACTCATCAGAAGCCAAGTAGGATAGAAAACCTACTGGATAGTAGCTCTCCAGGACCGGAGTTGGAGACCCCTGCTCTAGAGTCATCCAACACCCAAAGAACTTAATACAATAAAATACATCATTCAAACCAAAAACACAAGGGATAGCCATTTAGGCCTGGAGCCCACACAGGTATCGATGTCCTTTCATGTTTGGCATTCTAGCTTTCCTGTTTGCTAATCAAATGCTAAGGAAGCATTGGTTTGTTTGTAGCAAGGAAGCATTGTTTGGATGTTTGTAGCAGGGTTGCCTAATTCCGGTCCTGGAGGGTCAGAATCCAACATAGTTTCCACGTTTCCCTGCTCAAACTCATCTTAATCAACTAATTACCAGGTTTAGTAGTTGTTTCTGAGCAGGGAAATTTGCAAGCTGTTTTACAAAATGGCCCTCCAGGACCAGATTTGGGAAACCCTGGTTTATAGGAATATTTAAGATTTAATAAATTAATTCAGAAAGTCATTCTGTGATAGGGAACCACATTATAAATTTCCAAGGAATAATGAGACACATGCTTTGTAGCATGCTCTGGGTTGTCGCTGTTATGTTTGCCGTCTTGCTTTGTGTTGAGTAATACACTGAAGATCTGAGAGAGAGATTGTTCATTGAGATTGGTTAAATTAATGTAGATAAAAGGTAAGGAATGATGGAAAGTCTAGTTTTACTGGAGAATGATGTACACTGTGTGGACAAAAGTATTGGGTCACACCTCTTAATCATTGAATTCAGGTGTTTCATTCCGACCAATTGTCACAGTGTATAAAATGAAGCACCTAGCCATGCAGTCAGGTTTTCAAATATTTGTGAAATAATGGGTTGAAGATCATCATAGGATGATCATCATAGCATAGGATGCCACCTTTGCAAGTCAAGCTAACTGCAGAATTCTAAACCTCCTCTGGCATTAACCCCAACACAAAAACTGTGCGCCAGTAGCTTCACGCAATGGAATTTCATGGCCAAGCAACTGCATGCTAGCTTCACACGACCAAGTGCAATGTCAAGCGTCAGATGAAGTGGCGTACAGCACATTGCCACTGGACTCTGGAGTAGTGGAAATGTGTTCTTTGGAGTGAAGGATCACACCTCACTTTGTCTGGCAGTCTGATGGATGAGTCTGTGTCTGGCAGATGTCAGGAGAACATTACCTGTCTGACTGCATTGTGCCAACTGTAAGATTTGGTGAAGGAGGGACAATGGTATGGGGCTGTTTTTCAGCAGTTGGGCTACACCACTTCCAGTGAAGGGAACTCTTAATGCTTCAGCATACCACGACATTTTGAACAATTCTATGCTTCCAACTTGGTGGGAACAGTTTGGGGAAGGCCCTTTTCTCTTCCAACTTGACTGTACCCCAGTGCACAAAGCAAGGTCCATAAAGACATGGTTGGGTGAATTTGGTGTGGAAGACCTTGACTGGCCCGCACAGAGCCTTGACCTCAGACAGCTTTGGGATGAACTAGAGTATAGATTGTAAGCTTGGCCTTCAAGTCCAGCATCAGTCCCTGACCTCTCAAATGCTCTTCTGGATGAATGGGCAAAAATTCCACACTCCAAAATCTTGTGGAAAGCCTTCCCAGAAGAGTGGCAACTCCTTATTGATGCCTATGGATTTAGAATGGGATGTCATAATAGTTCCTGTAGGTGTATTGGCCAGATGTCCCAATACATTTGTCCATATAGTGTATCTTTGCAGTCTTTGGGAAATACTGTTTGAATGAAAGTGGTGTCATTATGAAATTAAGTCTTCAGTCTGAGAGAGAGACTGGGAGAGTGTGAAGGGCTTGGATGCTGGGATCCGTAAAGATATACAGTGGGAGGCAGGCGGCTGGTCAGCAAATGATGGGTAAGATCTCTGAAATGTGAAGAAGAGACAACCTAACCCAGGATGACGGGCAATGACGTATGAGTTTGATCACAATTCCTACCGCCACAGGTTTTGTGTTGTCTTATTTCCTCCAAAGACAAATAACCTAAAATTGAAGGACACTAATTAGCCTAATTTAAGGAGAAAACGTACTTTAAATTTGGTGAATATGAAAATTCCCTTTCTGTGGCACCCTGATCAGTCTGATCAGTTGCGTCAGTGGCAGTGCCAGAAAAGGGAGGGGAATGCAGTGAGGGAGCAGGAGGAAATGTTTAAATAATCAGAATCTGAGTGTGAGGCTATTGAACTAACCATATGATGCATTTCTGATCAAATAACTGCTGTGGCTGTTTCCCTGTCACCAAATCAGTCTAGATGGTACAACGGGGGGTCTATACCCCACATGTCCTATGCGAAGAAATGAGAGGTACAGTGGAAGGATTTGGGACCATTAGTGTTGGATTGTGAAAACAGAAC